ATGTCTACCTGTCCTTGGAGTCCTCGGAACCGCCCATTTCAGCACGAGACTGGTGTTGATGGTAGCAGTTCCAGCTCTTCTGGCTTTGACCTGCTCTTCTTTCCATAGGCAGTTTAGGTTTTATATTAGAGGCAGAAGGTGGATGTACCAGATTGTTACTGTACAAAACAAATGAGTCACCTTTGCAAGATTGTTTCCATCCTCACTGTTGTTCTCCTGCCATCTCTGGAGGTGTCTTGCATTAGTGGTTAATAATGAGCCAAATACTGCACCTTGTGGAGGTTTCTCTGGTGAAAGCCCTAGCACAGCAAATACCATATACTTCAAGTGCATAAAGGTGATACAATGTGTGGGCCTGTGTTCTTTACACTGCCTTTTCTTGTTTCGTTAACAGGTTTGTATCCCTGAGGCAGGAAAGCCTCCGGCCAGTGTGGAGGTTCCAAAGCATACAATAAGTCTGTTCTAATGACTCCAGGTCCCTTGGGAAGCCTATTTAACCTTCAAACCCACAGACTAATTTACGTGTGTGTGTTCTGTGTGTAGATGAGTGTAAGCTAATGAGGGATCGTAACCTCCTGCTCAAAGGGCACATGGGTCTAGATGCTCAGCGCTGTGATCAAGAGCACTTTCCTCTCTCGTGGGAGGGGCAGAGCATATCAAAGGAAACAGTGGACTAGCACCCTCTTTACAGCAGCTGCAGAAAACCCTGTGACTGTCTCTGCCAGTCATTCACATTAAATGATAAATTATGGCCTCTTACTCGTACACCAGGTCAGCCCCAAGACTGATTGTGTTCCTGCTACCCGAACACGGCATATAGTTTCTATAACTCTGTTACTGGATCCAGTGTCTCCCAACTGCTTCCCAAGTTCCGCGTCCTACTGGTGTTTTTCTCCCATACATGAACACTGGTCATCGGGTTTTGTTTTCTCCAGCACAAATACCATTTCCTTTGTTTTGTTTTTATACTGTTGTAATAAGGTAAATTACCCCTTCATCC